TATCTTATCTAGAAAGATACGCCAGTAACTAGTTCGATAAAGTTTCATGACCCAGTGGCGGCGTCGCCCTTCAAAATCAAGCTGAAACTCTTTGTGTCAGCAAAATTTGCCCCTCACAATGCAGGGAATAGCGTTTCAGAGGGTTTAGATTTCCAAATGTTTAAAGGGAGCATGCCCCCGGTATCCTTAGTAAGGTCGCGTCTTCGCTGCAAGGTTGGTGAGCAGACCCCCCCCCCCCCCGGCGTGCAAAATTTCGTGCCGCCGCCTCTGTGATCAATTTATTGTGGCTGATGATGTCATCATTTTGTACATGTCGTTCCCCCAGTAAGTCGACACAGTTTCGCATCGAATACATAACCGATTATTGGCAGGCATCATACATCCATAATTGAGTCAAGTAACATATAAAGTGATCAATAAATCACCCAGTCTATCTACCTGTCAATCGATTGATCAATGTCAATCGATTGATCATTTTTTTTTAAATTGGTATAGGTTGCTTGAAACGAGACTATGTCGAGTCAGTAACTGAGTAACTGATATGCCAATTGCATGCATACTTTTATGCTATTGTTATTTTCATCATAAACGACATAAACAAGAAATACAGATAATTATATTGAATGAAGGATATGATCAGTGTGAAAATGTCTGACGAGAACCATGAAAAAAAACTAGTGTTCATAGCCCTTAATTAATATTAAACCATCGAACAGTGTGCTACCAGTGACTGTTTTCATTTGTTTTAAGAACAAAATAAGTAACTTCAAATTAAGTAATATTAAAATGCGGTTGCCTATGTTTCTAGCTCGATACATCAGCTTTTCGTAAAATGTACATCTTGAAGATTATCGCATCGTGACACTCACACCGTGACGAGAGTCGGGTCATTAAATTATATAACATCATTCAGACTGTCCAATTATTGTTTTGAACTAACTATCGTCTATAAGAAATAGGAAGAATTTTACATAACAGTACATTTCTCATTTTTCGATTCAGTAGACTAAGCGAAGATGGACTAGAAAGAACTGTTTTTGTTGTTTGGATGAAGCTGAATTTGATCGTCAGATCGGCGTCTAGGTTTTCTCTTAACAACCACCACTAAGGCCACTGCCAAAGCGATACCAACAACTAATAAACAAACACAGGCAATCAACAGACCATTGACGGGGACATCTACCTCCGCGTCCTCCTCGGACTGATTGAATGATATCTTGGCACCAGAGCTCGTACTTTGTGAGCAAGGAGTAGTCGGGGGACACGTCAGATTCAGTAGAATGGGAACATATTCGTTCCAAAATGCAGTACCATCAGCTCGTAGATTTTCTCTCACGTTATCTATGGTCATATTCGGTTCAAATCGCATGTAGGTATAGAGAGTATTATCATACAGTGGCCATTGGACTGGCACGGCAACAGGAAGGTTGGGATCTCTGTAATATATAAATAAATATATATGTTTTACATGGATTGTGGAGATTGCATGTCATTGAGCGCATATATCTAATTTGCATATAAGTAGCCGAAAATGTCATTTAATGCGAAAACAAAACTGTGCCTAAAAGTCAGACCAATCATAGAGCCTCTTGCAAAACTGTGCCTAAAAGTCAGACCAATCAGAGAGCCTCTTGCAAAACTGTACCTAAAAGATAGACCAATCAGAGAACCTATTGTTTGTTGACATGTTTTTATGTATCAAAGTGTGTCTCGCAACTGTAACTTTATGTGACATGCGTATAGGGGGTATAAAAGACCACTTTGTATGGCACCAACTAAGCACACTCTGTATCTTTGGGATACGTTACGTTTTACGTTACTACGGATTTTTACCCCCGAGGATACAGGAAAATTTATAAAATTATCTGTTACACCGCGTCAACCTGATTGGCTGGCATGGTCATGGGATGTAAGATAATTGAATACTAAGAGTGTAATCATATTGTCAAATATGAAATAAGTGACTTACCCTGACTTAGCAAAATTTGTCCAGTATCTGGACATGTCTAAACTGAGCTGTTTTTCATCCGCGGGCGCAGTCATGTTTTCAAATGGGCCGATACCCGTCATCATGAGGTGCCCAAATGTGAACGGTATTTCAGTGGCGTGCGCAGCACCGTCAATGTAATCAGGACCTTTATAGAAACTTGGACGGTGGTCAAAATAGTAGTGATATGTGTTGGTTTCTGGTGGGCTTGGA